TAGTATTAGTGAAAATGTTCGAAAACGTATTTTAAAAGAAGATGGATTTTCAAATATAGAACAATATATGTTTGAAGAACATCCAATGTTAAAACGAGCAGCAGTTGAATGTATGTGTAATTTAGTTGTTCAAGAAGAAGTAAATAAATTAATAATTAAGAAATTTGATTAATTGATTATTATTTTATTATTAGATTGTGAAATATTTTACAGGTGAAAATGATCGTATTAAATTATTAGTTTTATTATGTGGTGAAGAAGATGAATTATTAATAAAAGCAGCTTTAGGAACATTAGCTGTTTTATCATCATTACAAGCTGATCTTGAATATATAAAAGATTTAAATTTAGAAGATGAAGAACGTAAACGTTTAAATGATTTAATTCATAATAATCGAATTATATGTGAAAAAATACTTGATGTTTGTATTTCGCTTTGTTTTCTTTTTATTATGATGGTTTAATGTTTTTTTTTTAGGTTAAATCATTTACTAAAATTTTTAAACAATTATGTGCTTGTAATAATCCGGATTTACAATTTCGAACTTTTTATATAATTCGCAATATAGTTAAAACTAATAAAGAACTTGCAATACGTATTGTTGAAACAGAATTAATGGACATTTTATTTGCTATTAAAGAAATAAAAGATGATCGGCTAGTCAATGAAAAGGTATGTTAAAGTTATTGGTTACATCTAGAAACATGTGAAACATAAGTAACTTTTTAGTCAATAGACTCGTATTTCGCTTAAAATTTCCAGATTTTAGAACACTTCTACGAAATAATGAATCCAGAATAAGAATGAAAAATTGAACAATTATACAGGCTATGTTTTGGCATAGTTTGAGCTTAGGTTGCTAGGAAAGGTTGTAGAAATGAACAACGAAAAAGATAATATTGATGAAAAACTTTTTCAAACTTAATGAATGTTACAAAGATAAGCGTTTCGAATACTACTCTATCTTATATAGCAAAAGCACGACTTCGATAATTATAAACAATCGATAATTATTCAAAAAAACGGAGGCTAATTATATCAGCATGATAAAACTCAAAGATATCATTTTAAGATTAATCGACTCCAAGTTCGAGTCTAAATTACATATTACTGAAATTTGTCGAAAACATTTCAACTGTTAGAATTTCTATAGAACTCTTTAAATAACTCGTCCAGCTCTAACTATTAGTTATTATTAGTAGAATAACTCTCCTTAGCAATCCGATTTTTTTGAGAATTTCGTAAAAAAATCAACTTTTTCGACACTATAATCCAATCTTTTCCACTATGATTGTGCAATTTCAGATGAGATTTAATCATTGAAGTAATCGTAAAACAAAAATTAAAGCTAACTTGGTAGATAATTTCTCTGTTGATTATATTTATTGAAATTCAATAGAAGTTATTCAAGACAGATTTCATTCATCTGAATTACACTAATCATTATTAATTTGAGTTGTATATTGAATATTTTACGTTAGTTTTAGAATATAAAATCAATTAGGTTCAATGACAAAAACTTACAAATATTCTAAGAATTCATACGAATTCAATTTAATTAAAAGCTTTTTGTTTTTATTTATTTTAGAATCGTAAAATAGCTTCCGATATTGTTGAACTTTGTTTGAAATATGGCCTTATTCAACGGAGTAAAGATCATACAATCAAAGAAGAAGATGAAACAACTCTTACGAATTAAGAAATAAAACACAATATAATTTCGTCTTTTTTTTTGTTTTTATCTATATTAGTGTTATGACACGAACCTTTTGTTTTTCTAACATCTAATGTCTTTTGATAGATCATCAATAAAATACATTCCTATGTTTTTTTCAGAATAATAGAAAATGTCAAATACTCATTCAAAATCTGAATTGATCGTATCTTCGACATCGAATTTTGATCCAATTAATTTAGAATCTGAAATTCTTCAATTATGTCTTCAATATCCTAATGGTGTTAGTAATAAAATTCTTGAAAAATCATTTCCTAATGTCACATTAGAACAACGTGTTAATGCCTTAAATCGTTTATCATCATTACAAAAAATTGATTTCTTAAAATCTTTAAATGAACCAAGTTCATTTATTTATCGTATACGAGATCCAATGAATAAATCAAATTCATCAATATCAATTGGTAATGAAACAACAGATCAAATGGAAAGAATAGTTTATCAAGTTGTTAAAGAAAGTGGAAATTTAGGTATTTGGATACGTGATATTAGATTTAAAATACAATTATCTCCAACAATACTTAATAAAACACTTAAATCATTAGAAAATAAACAATTAATTAAAGCTGTCAAATCAGTACATGCCAATAAGAGAAAAGTAAAACAAAAAAAGAAAATTTCTTTTTTTTTTTAAATAAATGAGGACTATAAAACTTTAACTACAGAATGGCATGTATGTAAGGCGTATGCAATTTGAACAAAATTTTTCTTTTGTTACAGCTGAATAGAGATCGTTGAATTACCTATAAAAATCTTCGTCATGACATATTCAATATAATTTAGCAAAAATAGATTAAAAAACAATCAAAAAAATTTATGTACACCAAAAGTATCACGTCTCTTATAGTCTCAATATTTATACAAATGTTTCTTTGGCTTTAAGTTCTAATGATTAAAGACGTTGAATGAAATCTTTTATTTATGGTATTTTGTGCTATCATATTGAAAAAACTCGATTTTCTCAACAATCAAACAATATTTATTCGTAAAAGCATGTA